GGGGGGGGGGGGGGGGGGGGGGGGGGTGGGGGGGGGGGGGAGTGGGAAGGGACTAAATCAAAATGGAGTTGGATTGGGAAATAAAGCACTGTGTTCCCCTGCGGTGCCCACCTCTCCTGAAAGGCATTGATAGGCATCACATGCTCCTTCTCCAAGGACACCTGGGCTGGAATATAACCGCGAAAGAGGTAATACCTCATTAACTGCACAGGCTATATGGTCACTCATATTTCCCAAGAGTTCCATGGCTTCAGTGGATTTTGCAGACTTGCTATCTTCATCCCAATTAAATGGAATTTGAAATATATGGTAAGTCAACTTGGGGTAGCCAACTTTGCCTGTGATCACGAGCCATCTTCTGTCCGTAGTTTGAAAATGGTTGTGTTTATTGGCAGTGTCTCCAGTAAGTTCATCAGTGATCAGTAAGCAGCAACCAGCATTGGGCTGGGCAGTAGCCAGTGGAATGGCCAATGGTACAGAGTCAGGTAGGTATTTAGAAGGCTCTGTCGCACAAATATGACATCATCTGTGCAAGTGTATGCAGCTGGGGGCCTACTTGGTGTATTACCCAATGGAAGCATGTCTTCATATCAATTCCAAATATTAAATTATAGTGACACTTAAAACTGATGAATAATTTTACTAATCATTCCCCCATCTTCCCCTGTGTATCCATCGATACAAACCATAATTTTACATCTACAGGCATATCTGTCAAATTTGTAATTTTGTCGACCAAAAAAAAAATTGGAGTAACTAGCTTGATAACGCAGCTGTTCTTTGATTTGTGATCTGATCAATATTCTGCAAATTGTCCATAGATTTTCTCATATTTGTTTTGTGGCAACTTTCTCTTATCAAAAACAATTGAACAGCCGCCTTTGTTTATTGTTTTACAATAACTTTCTTGAGATCCACTTACTTTAATCTTTGAAACTCTAAAGTTGGGGCAGTCACATAGCTTCTAGAACTGAAAATGTAACACTATATATCGACAAAGAGATCAATGATGCCCTTGCACTCACTAAACGTATCACACACGTCATTTAGAAGTGGAGCTCCCAATGGTGTCTTTGTGTCTTGCTTTATTTCCAACTACGTTGAAACCACAATGAATCAAATTCAGATAACCCAATACACTGGTTGTGGTGAAGATGGCAACCAATCCTGCAGAATGGAAAATCCCACAGAACGATCCCTGTGACAAGCTTAAAGTTCTGAACTGGTAACTGCAGATCAGCCAACGTCATGCACACTTGTCCTATGACTGTGCCAACCACTTAGAGCAAAGTTAGGCCAGGACAGAGTGTAAATCACCAGTAAGGCCACAGTAATTGCTGCAAAATGGTCTTGCATGCATCCTGAAGAAATATGCATAAAGAGACATAGAGTCATACAGCACAGAAACAGATCCTTCGATCCAACCAGTCCATTCTGACCATAATCCCAAACTAAACTAGTCCCACCTGCCTGTACTTGGCCCATACCTCTCCAAACATTTCTTATTCACGTACTTATCCAAATGTCTTTTAAACTTTGTAGCTGTATCTACATCCACCACTTTCTCTGGCAGTTCATTCCACACATGGCCACTCTGTGTAAAAAAGTTGCCCCTCGTGTCTTTTTTAAATTTTTCTCCACTCACCTTAAAATATGACCCCTAGTTTGGAAATCCCCCACCCTAGGGAAAATACACCTTATCTATACCCCTTTTTTATAAACGTCTATAAGGTCATCCGTCAATCTCTTATGTTCCAGTGAAAAAAAGTCCCAACCTATCCAGCCCCTCCTTATAACTCAAACCCTCCATTCCCAGCAACATCCTCGTAAATATTTTCTGAACCCTCTCCAGCTTAATAACATAGTTTCTATAACAGAGCAACCAGAACTGGACACAGTACTCCAGAAGAGGTCTCCCCAATGTCCTGTACAACCTCAACATGACATCCTAACTCCTATACTCAAAGGTCTGAGCAATGAAGGCAAGCGTGCTAAATGCCTTCTTAACCACCCTGTCTATATGTGTTGCAAATTCAAAGAATTATCTACGTAGGTCTCTCTGTTCTACAACACTACCCAAGGCCCGAAACTTTAATTGTATAAGTCCTGCCCTTGTCTGTTTTACCAAAATGCAAGACATCTTGATTGCAGCTGAGACTGGATGGTTTTACTGGCTTTCAGCAGTTCACTGTTTGATGTTTAAAGATGAAGTATGTAATGTGTTACAGCTAATAGTGTGCACCAATGTGGATAGCACTGAAAAGTCATGACAGGTAAGTGCAAGAGGCCACACTGCTTTGTGAAATTTGAGACTATTCACACAGTGTGCAGCTGAACAAAACCATTGGATTCAGTGCCAGCATTTTTGAGGCCACGATCAGGAAAGTGACCAAAACATATCAACAGAAGAACAGGACGGCTGTCACCCTTTTGGTCTGGAGGGAGGGGTGGTGGCACAAAAAGCTGGACCCGCAAAGAAGCGCCTTTCCTGGGCTGCAGATAAAGAAAGGTTATGGTTCAGGGCCTTTCACTTACCTCCCGGGAAAGAGAAGAGAGAGAGAGAGAGAGTGCTGCTGGATCTGCAGAGGATCTGAATGGTTTTGTAAAACAGAGTCCAAGGGTGACAGCACAGGAAAGCTGAGAATTCATTGGTTGTGAGCAGCTGCAGTTAGAGAGTGTGTTCCAATTCCAGTAATGCTGAACATGTAAATTGCTAAACTAACCCAGGAAAAGTAAGATTTTGCAGGCACAGGAGAGCGAGCAAACTTGTGAGCAAGGGCAAGGAATTTCCACTAATATTCAGTTTATAGTAATAGTACAAGAGTGAAACCAAAGTAAGATAAAGTAAAGTAATTTAAAAAGTGTAGTGTTGTGACATGTCAGGGCAGTTCTGTCAAATGGAATACCAGTTCTGTGGCATGTGGGGATTTGTAGACACTTCACATGACCCAGATGAGCCGACACACAAGCAGGCTGGCTGTACAGGCCTGAGCCCTGGGTCACTGAGGATCATCTACAAGGCAAACAGCCATGCAGAGAGAGCACTCAGTGAGGGGTAAACAGGCAGCAATAGGAGACTGCCAGGCAGGCCAGCAGGATCAAGCAGGAGTCTCCAGATGTCCAGCTCAATGACCAGTCTTCTATTCTGGAGATGCAACAAGAACGAAACATGTGGCCCAGCCGAACAGGAGGCAAGGAAAAAGCAATATCATGGAATCCCTACAGTGTGGAAACGGGCCCTTTGGTCTGACAAGCCCATACCGACCCTCAGAGCATCCCAGCCAGAACCATTCCCCAAACCCACCTAATCTACACATCCCTGAACACTACGGGCAATTTAGCATGGCCAATCCATCTAGCCTGCATCTTTGGACTGTGGGAGGAAACCCATGCAGACACAGGGATAATGTGCAAACTCCACACAGACAGTTGCCTGAGGGCAAAATTGAACCCAGGACCCTGACACTGTGAGGCAGCAATGCTAACCACTGAGCCACCATGCTGCTACAGAATTCTTTAATGAATTATCACTGTTAATCCAGAGACCCAGGTAACATTCTGAGGACCTGGGTTAGAATCCCACTACGGCAGATGGTGGAATTTGAATTCAACAAAAATCTGGAATTAAGAGTCCAATGATGATCATGAATCTGTTTGTCAATTGTCAGAAAAACTCATCTGATTCACTCATGTCCTTTAGGGAAGGAAGTTGCCATCCTTAGCATGGGAGGTTGCAGGAAGGTGGGCTTTAGATTCTTGGGACACTGGGTCTCGCTCTGGGGGTAATCTGGAGATTACTACTTTAGAGGTCCTGCTTACTAGTTTTCTACCTAGCACCCTAAATTTTGTCTGCAGGATCACATCCCCTTGTTTCACTGTTTTTTGGCATGACTCCAAGATGATATGTTACCTGGCCGGTGTTAAAGGTAAGGGCGTCACAGAACGGCTGCTGTGTATTTTTCTGGGAAAGGCTGAACTGCCAGAGGTCATGGTCCATATTGGTGCGAGCAACTTAAATAGGGAAGGGGATGTGATCCTACAGTCAAAATTTAGGGTGTTAGGTAGAAAACTAGTAAGCAGGATCTCTAAAGTAGTAATCTCCAGATTACCCCCAGAGCGAGACCCAGTGTCCCAAGAATCTAAAGCCCACCTTCCTGCAACCTCCCATGCTAAGGATGGCAACTTTCTTCCCTAAAGGACATGAGTGAATCAGATGAGTTTTTCTGACAATTGACAAACAGATTCATGATCATCATTGGACTCTTAATTCCAGATTTTTGTTGAATTCAAATTCCACCATCTGCCGTAGTGGGATTCTAACCCAGGTCCCCAGAATGTTACCTGGGTCTCTGGATTAACAGTCCAGTGATAATACCACTAAGACATCAGCTACCCCTGAATCTCAGTCCAATGGTTCGGTTTAAAATCGAGAGGAAAGAGGTATTGAATAGGCTGCCAGTACTTGAAGCTGATAAGGCACCAGTTTATGTTATGATACATTCAGCTGTGAAGAAAGATTGGAGAAGTTTGGACTGTTTCCCTTGAAGAACAGAAGGTAAGAGAAGATTTGACAGAAGTTTTCAGGATCATGTGGGGTCTGCACAGATTAGACAGGGAGGAACTGTTACTGTTTGTGAAAGGATCAACAATCAGAGGGCCCAATTTTAAATAGTTTTGCAAAAGAAGCAAACGCAAAGTGAAAAAATAACTTTTTCACGCAGTGAGTAGTTAAGAGTCCGGAATGCACCATCTGGAAGAGGTCATTAGATTGCAATAGAAATAATGTGCAGGGTCTCAGAAGAGGCAGGAGTTTGGCACCAAGTCAAATTATTCAGAGAGCTGGTGCAGACACGTTAATGACTGGCCTCCTTCTGTATCACATTATTAACTAATCAAAAAAAAATCTATCGAGCTAGGTTTCATTCACAACTTCCAGAAGTGCCATTGGCTGGGATATAAAATGCTGCAGTGCAAAATCCCGAAACATCCAGCATCTTGTGGCTCCTTGATACTGAAATAGTCCATGTCCAAATGTAGCAAGACCTGGACAATATCCCAGCTTGGGCTGTCAAGTGACAAATAACAATTGTACCACGAAAGTGCCAGGCAATGACAATCTTCAACAAGGTTGAAGATTTTCTTTAGAAGTAGTGTCCAAGATGTAACTATCTTCAGCCTGGTCCATCAATGATTTTCTCCCCATCATAAGGTCTGAAGTGGGGGTGTTCACCATTGATTGCACAGTGTTCTGCATCATTCATGACTCCTCAGTTTTTGAAGCAGTCCATGTTCAACGCAACAAGATCTGGACACCATTCAGGTTTAGGTTGACATGTTATATTCATTATTCACACAAGCGCGAAGTAGTTACCATTTCCAACAGGAAATGCTGAATCCGCCACTATCAATATCGTAGGGGTTAACATTAACCAGAAACTGAACTGGACTAGTCATATAAATACTGTGGCTACAAGAGCATGTGAGAGGCTAGAAATTCTGTGGCAAGTAATTCACCTGACCACCATTAACAAGGCACAAGTCAGGACTGTGATGGAATATGCTTTATATGCACTTTCTTCACCTCCGATGCACAGCAGCAGCTGTGACATCTACAAGATACAGAGCAGAAAGAAGGTAGCTCACCACCACCTTCTCAAGGACTACTAGGGTTGGGCAATCAATGCTGACCCAGCTAGTGACACCCCCATCCCATGAGTGGATAAAATAACTCATCCAGAAATGATTTCTTAAGGGTGAAAGATCCCCTGGGGGAGTACCAGATTCATCAGCCCATCTTGAAGCTGTTATGAATCAGACCAAACCCCTTCAAATATAACAAGGAGACAGCTTAGACCCTAACTTTTTCTTATTTAAAAGCAAGTGTAAGGTGCTGTGTTCCAGGTGTAATTTGATTGGTTACACTACTCGGCTTTAAGCAAAACACACTTTATTTATAGCCTACAGTTAAAATACAAACACAAAAGAAAGAAGAATTGGTATAACTTTTAACTCTATTGGAAAACTTAACAGAATAATAGATTATTTAACCACTAAACAGTAACTTTCCAATATAGTAACATCCCAGAAACATCCGTGACAAATGCAATGTCAGCAAAACAGATTGTCCCATACGTGACTCTGGCAGCATGGAGCGAACCCACACTTTTAGCTGTAACAGAGACAGAAATGCAACAGCTTCCACAATCAGCTTCAAAACCCCAAAATCTACTGAAAGCTAAATTAAAACCCAGCTTCTGTGAGAGCCTGGCTCCACCCATTAATGGTGTTTCTAATGTTCCAACTTAAAAAAATCCAAGGCCTCACACATTGTTTACTTTCTTGGCTTGGCAGACCGCTCAGCACCTCTGTCTCAACCTCTCTTCATTAAAAAAAAACCCAGGACAAAATAAACTTCTTAAATTCATTGTATCATTACAAAGCAAATGAAAAGTTGGTTAGCTCAGTTGGCTGGATGGCTGGCTTCTGAAATACAGTGAAGCCAACATCATAGGTTCAATTCCCACAATGGCTGAGGATTGTCCCCCTCACCTCACCTCACCCAAGGCATAGTGACCTCAGGTTAAATCACCACCAGTCTTTTCTCCCTAATGAGAGTGGTCTGCTGAGACTATGGTGACATTACCTTTATTTTTATATCGAAGCAAATTGCAAACAGCCTGCAGAAATAGGTTAAGCAGTCTCTATAAGTTCTGCAATGGGACAAAAACAAAAAGACAGCTTACCATCGACGTGGAAACATTCCGGTTGATTGAATAATGGAGGAGGTTCTGTGTTGTTTTCATACATTTCAGCCAATGAGTGAAATACATTCCTGCAATACAGAACATAAAAGATAGAAAATATAACACAGAGGTAATTATACTTTCAAAAAGTAATTCATTGGCTGAAAGGTGCTTTTGGAAGCCTTGTTGATATGAGGGTAGATTATGGCAATGTAAATTCATGCTTTCCTTTTCCTTTCATGACAAGACCAGCAGCTCAATGACATACTGTGTTCTGACTAAGTCCAAAAATTAGCAAAACATCTAATTTTACTACAGTGCTTGCAAATTGACTACTGAATATGAAAACGTCATCATCAAAATCAAGAACAAATTGCCAGTTCATGAACAAGCACATCTACATTTGAAAAGTAAACAAGTGGGATTATGGTCAGCCTCTCTGCTCCTATGATGCTGCTTGGCCTGCTGTGTTCATCCAGCCTTGCACCTTGTTGTCTGGGATTATGGTCAGTCTTCCTATCCTAACCAGACACACAAGGCAGCAATAGATTGATCTGAAAAGGATCAGATCTGAAATTCTCGGCTCATTGATGACTCACTTTCTTCTTGTGTGAACAAATTGCGATTCAAATCTTTTCATGTAACCCAGGCACAAAGCCAGCTGTAAGATTATGAAAGAGGCTCTCTTGAATAAAACATTGGGCTGGATTTTTTTTTTCAGGGTGCTGAGGTATATTTCAATGTGCAAATGGCCACATTTTGTTTTTGGAGGAAATCCAATTTTCTTCTGCATTCCCAATTTGAAGCCATTTTCCACTGGCTATTTTGTGACTCGGAAAGCCTACCAACCATCACTGAGGTCAGGTTCCCCTTTTTAAATCAGGAGTGAAAATCAGGTTTTATGCTGCATTTTTTAAATAGTGATTCAACACAGGGACCTATCCTTCAAAGATGTGTTAACTCTTGCATTGATCCAATGTGTATATTTATTCAAATTCATTACAATGTAGTTACAATGGTAAAAGTACCACCATGCAATAAAAAGTGTGTCAAAATGACCTGCCTGCCAGTAATGTCATCTTTTCTGCTGTGATTTAAAAGACTTTGGCTGATTTAAATAAAGCTTCAGTGATTGAAAAAAACTCTAAACTGCTTGTCTACATTGATTGACTGGCAATCTGCTTTGAAATAGAAATCAGCATAGAATCCCTACAGGGTGGAAGCAGGCCACTAAGCCCATACTGACCCTCTTAAGAGCATCCCAACCAGACCCACCCCTTTACCCTACATTTCCCATGGCTAACCCACCTAGCCTGCACATCCCTGGACACTATGGGCATTTTAGCATGGCCAATCCACCTAATGTGTGGGAGGAGACTGGAGCACCCGGCAGAAACCCACCCAGTCACAGGGAGAATGTGTAAACTCCACACAGACATACACCCAAGGGTGGGGCTGAGCCCAGGTCCCTGGCACTCTGAGGCAGCAGTGCTAACCACTGAGCCATTGCACCAGGCACCTTCCACTCTTTCCTTCTCAGAGGGCAGTGCAGATGAATAACAGTCTCAACAAATGTTAATGACAGATCATGCCTTTGAAGGATGACAAATTGTACAAGGATAACACAGTGTGGAGCTGGAGGAACACAGCAGACCAGGCAGCATCAGAGGAGCAAGAAATACTACCTCAAAGTAGTACAAGGAACTTTTCTTTTCCTAAAATTTTGGAATACATTTCTCTGTTTCAATATAAATTATATGAAGGCTTTCAACACCTGGTGAGAAGCTTATTCACCTCCACCCAGCCTCCCACATTCCCACAACACCCTCCCCTCCCCCATTCTCCATCACCACCACCAAGAACACCAAGTACTTTCCATTAATGTTGCAAGGAATCCAAGGACTGCAAGTTGTGAATACTGGGTGAGTGAGAAGGAAGTATACATGAAGGAAGAGACGGTATGGAGAAATATAGGAAAATCTGGAGGATGGAGGGGATGTCGGCTAGCATGGGTGATCTGAGTGGGCATGGCCTGGTGCAAAAGGGTGTTGGGTGGAGGGGTAAGGGAGGTGAGAAAGGGCCTTTATAATGTTGGGAGCTGGGATAGTGTGTTGGAGAACTGAGATGGGCCTTCTAACCAGCTCATCTCCACATTCATATTCCTCACTCTCAAACTCAGATCGTAAACTGCACTGCAAAACTCTCCTCACTGCAAGGTGAAAACCCAAAAACAGAACATGAACTCACACAACCTCCGAGATGCAAAAATACACAGGCCAGATTTTCCTGAGCCCAGAGGAAGATTTGTCCCATGAACTTAAGACCTTGACTGCTTGTTTATGTAGATATAACAGATCCCATTATTTGATCATGGGGAATTCTCCCAATGCCCAGAGCAGCATATCACACTTAGGTTAGCAAGCTGAATTGAATTAGCTTTATCGTCAAACATACTCAAATGAGTACAGTGACAAGTTTACAGCCGCCACATTACAGCACCATCTTAGGTACAAAGGTACCGAGGTACAGACACTTAAGATCAAATTCTTAGGAAACAAAACAAAATTAGAAAAGTAAAGAAATAAATAGTCCAGCATTATGGGTAATAGGAGTAAATTAGAAAAATAAAGATGTAATAAGTTCAGAATCAGTCTTTCCGAGTCAGTCCATGCCAGCACCTAGCCTCAAGGACAGACCTCCACAGCCTCAATGTTATGGACTTTGCAAAATGGCTGTGTGTTTATCTACACAAACTGCAATTCAAAATGCTGTTAAAAAACTGGCTGAAAATCACTTAGGGTGTGTAACAAATGTGGAAGTATAATCGTAAGTCCTTCTTCAAAACCTTAGTTCATCTTTCTTGTTATGAATGCTGACTGATGTTTTCACTCTTTCCATAATTTGCAGTTTTATTTTAAACAACAGAACAGGACATTGATTAAGAAAGTATGATATATGGATTTTCATATGGCATTTTTCAGGTGCTGCATAGTAGCCTAGATATAAAATTAAAACACACAGTCAGAATAACAATTACATTTCTAAAATGCCTTCAAAGTAGCAAAACATTTCAGAAATGCAATCAGACAAAAAGAAATGACTCCGAGACAAAAAATGGGGGTGACCAAACACTCGCATAATTTAGTTTATGTTTTATAGGTTAGTGTGTGTTGCCCTTGAACAAAGTGGCTTTGTAGGGCTATTTCAGAGGGACCTCCCCTAGAGGGGAGGCAGTGGTGTAGTGGATGAGTAAATGAGAATCTCAGGATATAGGTTTGTGGGATATAGTGTTCTGGGATATAGGTTTCAATTCCAGCATGGCAAATGGTGAGGTTTGAATTCAATAAAAATCTAGTATAATGTCGACCAAGTAACAACTGTCAACTGTTGCATATAAAATGGGGAAGGCAATGGCCTAGTGGTATTATTGCTGGGCTGTTAATCCAGATAAAGTTCTGAGGACCCAGGTTCAAATCCTACCACAGCAGATAGTAGAATTTGTATTCAGTAAAATATCTGGAATTAAGAATCTAATGATGACCATGAACCCATTGTCTGCAGAAAAACCCATCTGGTTCACTAATGTCCTTCAGGTAAAAATATCTGTCATCCTTACCTGGTCTGGTCTACAAGTGACTCTAGACACACAGCAATGTGGTTGACTCTGAACAACCCCCCAATAAATGCTGCCTGGTCAGTGACACCCTCATCCCATGAATGAATAAGAAAAAAATGCCCTTTTCACTAACCCTTTAGGGAAGGAAATTGGCTGTCCTTACCTGGTCTGGTGATATGTGAGCCCAATCCCACAGCAATGAGGCTCACTCTTAACATTTTTGCATGGTTATGGGGACAAAGTGAGGCAGCAAATTGTCATCTGGGCAAATAGAGATATGCAATAAATGCTGGCCAGGCCAGAAATGCCCCCATTCCGTGACCAAATTAAGAATAAGTTGTTAACCACATTATTGAGAGTCTGGACCAGGTAAGAGTGGCTGATTTCTTCCCTTAAACTGAATATAATGAAATTTTACACCATTGTAATAATTCTGTGATTCTGTGCAACAATGCAAAAGGAGGCCATTCAGTCCCTGTACTATTATCTAGCTCAGCTCTATTATCTAGTGCCAATCTCCTGCCCATATCCTTGCACGTTATTAATAACCAAAAAAAAATCCAATACCCTCTTGACTGCTTCAATTGAGCCTGCCTCCACCACATTTCCAGGCAGAGCATTCATACCCTAACAAATCACCGTGGGAAACGTTTTTTTCTAACGTCACGTTTGCTTCATTTGCACATCATTTTAAATCTATTCCCTCTTGTTCCTGCACTGTTTACAAGCAGGAACGGTTTCTCCCTATCTATTCTGTCAAGTCCATTCATGATTTTAAAATTGTCAATCCTCAGCCTTCTTCTCTCCATGCAGAACAGTTGCATCTTCTTCAATCTATCCTCATTGGCTAAAGTTTCTCATGCCTGGAACCATTTTGGTAATTCGCTACTGCACTCTCTCCAATGCATTCATATCTTTTCTATAAAGTGGCACCCACAGCTGTATACAATACTCTGAGGCTGACATCTGACGTATGTCTTGTACAAGTTCAACATCAACTCCTTGCTCTTTGATCTATGCCCCTACTGATACAGCTGAGAACACTATGCTTTATTTACTGCTCTCTCCACCTGCATGGCCACCTTCAATGAACTGTGCACATATAAATTCAAGTCTCACCGTTCCTGCACCCCGTTTAGAATTGTACCCCTTATTTTATATTGTCTTCCAGCATTCTTCCGACCACCTCACATTTCTCCGCATTGATCCTTATCTACCATCTATCCATTCACTCTACTAACTTGTCAATGTCCATTTGGAGTTCTACACTATCCTCCTCTGACTTGATGGGCTGAATGGCCTACTCCCATTCCTATGTTCCTATGTAAACTAACAGTCCCAATAGTGATATCTGGGGAACTCCATTACAAATCCTTCTCCAGCCCGAAAAATATCCATTGACCACACCACTCTGCTTTCTACCCACAGTCAACTTTGTATCAACATTGACACTCCCCTTTTTTATACCATGAC